GTTGCTACTCGAGGCGATCTTGAGGTGGTGATGGTGTTGCTGCTGGCAGCTGGTCCTGAAACTTTCATGGTGCGCGACTGGGATGGGAGGATGCTGTATTAATCGTAAACAGACAAAGTTACCCTGCTAATGAGACTCTTGGCTTCTGCAGGAACATGATGGGAAACTTAGGTCAACTTTCATGATTCTGTACACCATACATTAATGATTATAAGCTGTGGTCCACTTCATTAGTTAGTGTAACTTACAGACTCTTACCTTATGAATGTATCGCTTTGGCTCTCGGTCTCAGATGGAGGAGAACCGTAGAGAAACTATTAATAAAGTATACCCAGAATCCAGTTATCAACTGGGTAATCATGAGCTTTGTTTTCAACCATTTCTGGTGCTAAATAATCCGAAGTACCAAATATTGTATGCCTCTTGCTTCTTGACTATACAGACCATCCAAGATTATATATGATTGTGATTAAAGACAGATCCATGAATCAGTTGTTTTTATCTTGAGGAAGTAAGTAATAAATCCATGTTATTTGCAAAAATCCCATGTTGGATTAAAAGAAACTTAAAATATGCAGTAAGTTACCATCAACTAAGCTCTCAAGAACAACTTCAAAGATAGTTTGACCATTTCTGCCCAATTCCAAGTTTGTAAAAGAAAAAAGCTTGAAGAACAGGGTCTCACATTATACCTCATGATCAAGCAACAAATTTTCTGGCTTTATATCTTTGTGAATTACGTGCTTTTCATGGCAATATGCCAATGCCCAGTGTAAGAATACCAATGTACTGATATTCACAAGTAACAAATGGATGAACCTCCATAAAAGATAGATACGAATGAAAATCTAGCATTCATAAAAAAAAAAATCTCATAAATTTCAGAAGATAAACAGGGATTTAGGCTGGCATTAACAAAGTTTTGAGATCCTATTGTATTTTAAGTACATAGCTCCAGACTAAAACATGAAAACAATTTTCTTCAGAGATGCAAATAATTGAAAACGAGAAAATAGCTGCTTTTCTTTTCTTTCCAACAGTAACGCAAAACTAAAAAATCAGCGCACATTATCAGAGAGGCTCGGATTGGGAGAGAAAGTCACAGCGGCGGCTTGCCTTCCGCTGAGATGCCCCTTTTTCTTTAGATGTCCATAAAGCTCGCTGCGGTGAGCGTACTCGAGAATCTAGAAAATGTGTTCATTTTCGTGAAACCAACCGATAGAGACGCAGTATATTTGGGTGAGAAGACTTGTCTGTATCTCCATCTCTCTCCTTAGCTGATGATGAAATCTGTACTTGTCTACTTGCTCCTTGACTATCACTTTAAATGCCACTATATATTTGCTCTATGAATAAGGGGAAAATCAGTAATCACTGCCCAAAAAGAAAAAAAAAAAAAAAAAGCACACAGAAACCGTAATCTGAACAGCAAAATTAGACTTCATGGCAATTCATTGTTTTCTCTATAAATAAGGAAAAAGAAAAAATCAGGAATCACAAACAAAGAGAAAACTCATCAAAACCATATTTGCACTGCAAAATCAGATTTCCTAACAATTTATCAAAGAGCTTCACGTAATTTAACGGAAAATTCAAGAATTGAAAAATCTATTTTTTGCGTGAGAAAAGTGGAAATGGAAACGAAATATATCATGGAGTTCTCTGGCGAGGTAAACTGGCTGAATTTGTCCCTACCAAGGTGTTTTCCGATTTCGAAATCTCTGATGGATAATTGGCTGTGAGGATCAGTGTGTTGAGAAATTTTGAATTCGTTTAAACGAAGCGTTTTGGGGGGGAGTGGTGGGGGGAATTGGGTCCGATTATTAACCTTTGAAATTATGTTTAACTCAATGTTATTAATTGTTTGAGAACTAATCTAAGATGATCCCATTTATTGTCATTGCACTCTTTGTTCTGGTTCATTTGCTCTTTCATTTGTGGTTTACATTTTAAAATACAATCATGAAATTGCAATTAGTAATACAAAATAAACAAACAAAAGTATGACTAATTTCTATTCAAAAAATAATTGAAGAAGACAACAAATAAAAAGATGAGAAATTTCTATCTTGTACAGTTCTTTTGCTAATATAGGATGCTTGGGCACACTAAGTTAATTTTATATGAACCAGGAAAATTGTCACTTAAGACCGTTGCCTCGAGACGCCTGATGAGTTTCTTCTTCTTGTTAATACCTCCAATAATACCAAAGCTCACAGGACCGAAAAGGCACAACATTGTAAATTGCTTTCGTCAAATGTGCTATAACGATACCATAGAAATCTGATCTAAACAACACTAGTGATGCTCAGAAGCAAAACTAATAATAAGTAAAAAGTAGAGAAGATGATTTTTAACTCATCAGCGTTAAAACCAATTTACTATAAAATTTCAGAGCTTACGAGTTGAAAAACCCAGAGGGTCATGGATGTGATCTATACAGAACCTCTCTAAATCAGGGGAAATATTTCCTGAGAAATACAACATCTAACAGAGTTTGTTGAATCTAACAAATCAGAAATTTCCCCCACTAACCTTTGTACGCTCCCTGCAATTGCCAAAAACTGCACATCGATGCTCCTTTATATGCAGTCATGACCAGGCAACCTGGTAGTTTTTTGGTCCTTTTGTCTCAACCAAGCTGCCTTATTGGCACAACCCAAAAAAGTATGGAGGAAGAGCCCAACTGTACCCATTAGCCTTCCAAGTGCCAACATTAATTACTCCATTCTGGCTCCTCCAAAAGGTCCTGTACTTTGTACGAAAATGAAAAGTATCCTTTCCAATACAGCAAGCTTCCCTGAAAGACAGATCCTCCTACAAAATCTCTGTTTTACATCACAAAACTCATGTTTCTCAGTATCCCAACTTCAATTTTTTTTTTTATTTTTCAAGACAAAACTTCTTCACTTCCTTTGCAAGTGACAATGCAAGTTCTACCATCTAAACTGCACTTGTATAAGCAGCCACCATCACTATAGGCACTACCCCAGAGGCAACCAAATATCAAGCCATTTTAAATTTCAGGCCCCCCAATGCAGCAAAAAACGGGGAAAGGTTCCACAAATAATCTAATTTACAGCTTCGTAGAAAAGAACTTGTGGCTGCAAGTGCCCTCTTTCACACATGGAAAGAACATCAGCCCAACCACCAATTACCTATGCAAAAAATGCAAAATATCAGAGGAGAAGCAATAGAAGCTCGTAGAGAAGGTGGCATGTAAGAGTAGATGATAAATTTACCTTCACAGTTTTGTCGTCATACATAACCCATTGTTCATGGTCATGACTATATGCAAAACAGTGATAATGTTGTCCATAGTAGCAAACCTAAGAATAACAGAAATAACATAAAGGACATTGGTGTACTAGCAGTAGAGAATCATAAACAAATGCAAACTTCAGATAATATAGATACAGTAAAAGAAAAGGACCCAGTAAAATTTCCAGAAACGATGCAGAAACCATGTATATTCAGACAACATCTAGAGGGTAGCAAAAAATTCTCATGCAGTGTCACATTTTGTTTCAAAATTGAAAGCTACCTCCAATTCTATGTTTCAAGATTAAAAAAAATGTCATGTTTTAATTTCTTCTATTTTTCAAAAGAAACCACAGGATTTTTGCCAATTTTGAAAATTTATAGAATAATTTTACAGTAGAACTGTTTTTATTTTAATTGAATGAACTTCTATTTGTTTTCAGAAAATAGTTTGGAAAAAAAAAAGTTTACTACAACTAAACAACCCCTCGGGTCTGTTCCCTAAGAATTCAAGCATGCGGGTGATTAGAATTATTGAACAAAATGTGCTTAAAGCAGAGAACTATTTCCTAAAAATTTAAGTAAGAGGGTGTTTGGGTTGAAAGAATTGTGCTTAAAACAGCAAGGTGTTCTAAATTACTTAAAGCATATAAATTCTTATTTACAAAATAAGTCATTACAGTTTTGGATGGAGTGATTGTTGCAAAAAATAGTAATTTTTTTGTAATAAATTAATAAAAAAATATTTTTTCATTATCAATATTTTATAATTGATATTATTATATATTAATTGTTAATTTTCAGTGGACATCAAGATAGTAATTAAGTAAATTTATTAGATAAAAAAAGAACCTAAAACGTAAGGTGTTTACTTCTTATTTTCTTAAAGTTGTTTTTAAGAACCTAATAAGCACTTCTTTAAAATACTTTTAAAATACTAAATGCAACTATTAGAGCAGGGTCCTTAAGACTAGTAAGCAGGAATAAACCATCCCAAAAACTT